GAGGTTGTATTTTAAGACCAGCACATTAGGTCACATCAAGTCTAACCACTGCCATCTAAATTTGCTTCCAGTCCATTAAACAGATTGTTGCCGTCACATTGCAGCACTGTTGGACATGTGTGATTAAATTCCCACATATTGCATGGAACTAAATAAATGCATGGTGAGAGATATATTTATACTTGGTTGCCTGGTGAAGCATGAAAACTTCTATCAAATTATCACTTTTTATTCTTCTGTCACCTCTTTATCCATATATCAAAAAGGGAAAAATACAGACGTGCTAATTAACTATAGCAGTAAAGTAGTAGATTCATCAAGGACAATTCAGCATGTGCTACTCATCTATATGTGGGTTTTTTTTTTTTTTTTTTGTGTGTAGTTGGTTTTTTGGGGGGGTTTGGGGGGGGGGCGTTGCTCTTTTTATATAAATAATATATCATTTGTTATGTATAATTATTTATTTAAATGACTTAGGTAGGTGAAGCCAAAAATGCCTAGCAAAAATACAATATGGTTTCTTGAAAATAACTGAGTGGTTAAGGAAATTTACCTGTGGGTACAACTAGGAACTGCAACAATAATCAATAAGAAAAATAGTAACAGTAACAGTAGGTAACTTACTAATTGAAACACTGTAATTTGAGTTTTTTGAGTTTTTATAAACCATAGCTACTACAAGTAAAGGGTTTAATTTGATTACACCGGTTCGTTTTCACAGACTAATGTGACTACAGCTGTGGTCAAAGGTGACATGTTGGGCATGTTTTTGGAGTGACTGAGTAAGTCTTTGCAGCACACTGTGGAAAGTGCTGAGTTTGCTGGTAACGTATTTCACCAGTGCGGTCATTTTTTACCAAAGTTTGTTTCCAGTGAGTGAATATCTTTTTGACTTGTTCTATGGATTTGTGATGTGTGTATGTGTCTGTGGCGAGCCAGCATGATCTTCATATAATTTCCCAATGTACAATTGAGTGAGCTTCTTCACAAACACGTGCAGCTAAATGTCATTCACGACATTCAGATAATTCTAGCATGAGTATAAAAATCTGTGAAACCAGCTAAGGTGTGATTGATACCAACTTCTAGTCCTTAAAGTGAAACTTCATGCTTATCATTTGGTGTTAATGTCTGAAATCTATGAAGTCTATTCAAGCTTCCTGGAAATAACACTTTTTGTTTTCACTTTACAAAGTCTGTGTGAAGCGATGGACAGGTGGTCAGACGCACAAGCATGCACACCGTTTGAGTCTTATCAGAGATTATTTTCAGTTATACTTTTACTTGCTGCTTGCATTCCAGAGTGCACAGGTTATATGTAATACTTCACCACTTGCAAAAACCATCTATAGAAAATTTTCTGAGTGCAGGTCTTTTCAATTGATATAATCTGCTAGCACACCAACTGTGTCTGCAAGACATAACTGCATTTCTATTTCTATTTAAATGAAGGTCATGCATGAAAACCCTAAATTAAACATAACTATAGCTTGACATTTACTGAAATTAAGATAATCAAGTCAATGTTAATAAAAGTTGTAATATATTTATATTTATTTTGTTGCAAAGCAAAAAGAAAGAAAGAAAGAAAGAAAGAAAGAAAGAAGAAAGAAAATGATGAATAAATACATCCCATCATACGTGTCATTCCTCGCTTTTAAACAAAATTAATAAAGATCTGAGCCCCCGAGCTCTCCACTTTAATAATTCACACTTTCAGATTCATAGGTGGTAATGACCAGCTATTTTAACCATCCCCTTTGGAGCAGAAGGGGATGGTTCGTGATTGGTCACGACTGGCGGGAAGTCAGTAAGAGAGTAACAGTCCAGCAGGGACATGCTCCACTAAGCATCTCTTTCTCCAGCCAAGAAGCAGCACTTGGCACCACAGATAGGAAATTGATCAGATCCAGTGACTTGGGTGCGTAAATGATGGTTTAACCCTCTCAGGCTCAAATTAAACTTTTTGTTGCTAATGCACAACCAAGTCCTGCAGAGGTACTTCTGAGTAAAAAAAACTGTGTAAAAATATGTATGTGGGGTAATCAGGTTGTTAGTTTTTAACTGTTGCAAATCGGCAACGCCTGCCTTGAGTGGGTTAAGACTTCAGCCTGTGTCCATGGGGGCATGTAGTAAATGAGGGAGATGTAGTTGATGTGAAATATGGCCTTAAACTCCCACAAGGGCTTTAGCCTCTTGCTAAGCATGCAGCTCTGTCCCAGTCTATTTCCAGCAGTGACTTATGCAGTCTAGTGTAAGGTACACTGCGCTTCTGTAAGAAGACACTTCTGCTCTGACAAGCAAAAGGCTGCTATGGTGAATATACTGGCTGACAGCAGGACCCAGGTGCATCAGCTGTGGACTGTCTAATAAAGAGTTGTTCATATTTATTCACCTAATGAAAGTCTTCTGAGCAGACATACTCTCCCTCCTCCTTTGGCTGATTAGCAGTATCTCTGGATAATCTATAAGTAAGTGCCTGCCTCAGTGGTGCTTAAAGGAGAAAGGGCTCATTTACTTCTGCTTTCGCAACATTCTGGCTTTGCCTATATTTGCTGTTGCACTTACATCATATGCCATGCAGATAAATGAGTATGACATCATGTTATCCCATAATTGATGTTGTTAGACTAAAAGCAATTTGTAATAGGTTATATTTGTACTGTATACAACATTTCAGGCTTAACACAGCTAGAGGTAACATGTGTGCAGCATTCAATATGGTTAACCACAATATTTTACCAGAGAGATTGTAACACACTGTTGGTTTTAAAGGAACTGCACTGCAGAGGTTTGAGTTGTATCTGTCTGATTCCAA